TAAGTTATGATTGTACTTTAAAAACGGAGTTTTATAAACTATAAAGTAACATAACTTTAAAAGAGTTTTTAAAATGTTTTGATCACCATAAGCAATCCTTTAAAAGATGTTTATAACAAAACATTTACACACTTATCATTGTGTTCAACTTGTATTCCCCCCCCCCTTAAAAGCATTTAAAACAGTTAAAAGATTGATTATAGGGGTATGAACTCACCTTATGTGGGTGATTCAATCGAATATGCGCGTAAGGATGAGAAGTTCCACGAATGAAGTCCCGAGACACAAACGAGTCCTAAATGACATATATGGCATATATTGGCATGAATTTAGTGTTTAAAAGCAACTAACATGCAAGGAAATACCCTTAGGGACTAGGAAACACTTGGACTAAGTGTTAGAATTACATGTGATTCATCAAAGAGGTGTATACGTCCACCAAGAACAAGTGTTAGAATTACTTGGACTAAGTGTTAGAATTACATGCAAGGAAATACCCTTAGGGACTAGGGTGTTCACGTCCACCAAGAACAAGTGTGTGTTCTTGGTGAAATATGAAGATCTACCCAAAAAGATGATTTTCATGGATGAAATCAAAGGGTGATACATGATTAAGAAGGATAACACCAACTACAGGGAAGAAACACTTACGTTTTTGAATATCAAAGTGAAGAACTCGATGATAGTTGAGAGAGAAATCGATTTTCTAGACTTGGAAGTGTGAGGAATGGCTAGAAATGAAGGGGATGCCCTACATATGGGGGGTGGTGTACGGCCAACATGGGTGTACGGCCGTACACTCCCTTTGATGGAGTGTTCGGCTCGATTTCAACGCGAAGAACTTTAGCTGACACTTCCCTAAACCCATAGCTTGATTGTACTGAGCTTAGAACCCTTAAACAGACTCTAAACAATGCTAAAAGATAGCCGAAACAGATCTGACACACGGTTGAATTGAATGGCTGTACTTATAAGGCAAAAAACTTTGGGTTGTCACAACTTACAATATTATATTGGCTGAGCACATTAGTAGCAAACAGGGTATATCTCTTTGGGTTAGGTACCACTAAGAGACAACCTAAACCTATATGATTTTGATATATAACTTTGATACGCTGATATACGATTATAGTAGGATTATGCATGAAATACGATCGATGATATACGAAGGAATGATATAAGATTGAATGAGCTATGATGAAATTATATATGAATGAAGATTGATTGATGATTGATATGCAAATTCTATTTACATGTTTATAATTTGAATAATTGACCCGTTAAGGGATTGTATGTTTTCCCTTTGATTGTGTACAAACTCCTATTGGCTCACGAAGCATTTGCTGACACTTGTTTCTTTGCTTTGTGCCTATATGATTGGTACAAGTAGCTTAGGAGCTTGGATTGGTGAGATGGGGTCACTTTTGGGTAGTTTATCCTTAGAATAAAGATGCCACTTGGATACGTTATTTACTTTTTGATAATTATGCTTCTGCTACAATTAAATACTTTTTATCTTTTGGCTTTGAATTGAACGTAATGTGGTTTGAAATGTTTTTTTTGAAATAAACAATGTGTAAAGTCTTCCGTTGCATTATCCATTAAAATATTAAAAAGAATAAATGGAAAAAAAAATATGAGTAAAATTCACGACGTTACAGACGTCATGGACCTTGTTGACTCCATGTTACATGGGAAATGAGTCACTGGTAGATTGCGACTATAGTCTATCGGCTATCGGAAGCTATGGAAGGCCCTATAAGCCAAAATTGGAGGAAGCTATGAGGAATGAGATTCAATCCATGTATGTTTGAAACACTTGGTGTTAAAACCATATAGTGTTTGTAGACCTTCAAAAGATGACAATCATGGATAGGAACACACATATATTCAAAACAAGACGGGTTGTGAACGATATGTAGGCTTGAGAATTCCATTGATGGATTCTAACAAGCATATCATGATTGGATCAATTTCTTTGATGATAAATTCAAAGGTTAAATTACAAGAAACAAAAGATAGTCCATATAAATGTCAAAGCTAGTGAGAGCAATGTTGTCCCTTGTATTAAAATATGAAACGATGTCCTAACTTTGCTAAGTGTAAAAGCTTTACGTAGCTTAGGAATCATTTCATTATGAAACACATGGGAGGAACAAGAAAGCATACTTAGAGTCTATGTAGATAGATCTAAGTAAATCGTTAATTTAAGCCAAATACTTGGAATCTTAAGGAAACTCGAGATGCAAAATTCTTAAAGAGTTTGTGCAAGTAAATCTAATGACTCGTATGCCTTGTACATGGCAAGTCGTATAAGATCATTTTGGATTTAATCAAAGAATCAAGAATCAAGAATCAAGAATATTCTTTGGAATCCTAAAAGGATGAAAGATATAATCTTGATAGTATGGAAGAAATTAATGAAAGAGTTACATTAATGGTGAGTTCCTTACTAATAGAGACATTTTCGTTCATATAGATATCTTGAAAAAACAAAGGAATATTTGATCACTTATCTAAGGGTTATATCATAACTCTATGTTGTGAGTATGGTAGGTACATTTCGTTGTATACTCTCTACTCATTACTAGTGAATATTAGACAATATAATGTTGGTAACTTTTGCAAGTGGGAGTGATGGAGAATGGTGTCCATCGTTACAACACAATTACAACAATTGGTACTATTAATAGTAGGGTCCTTTTAGGTTACACGCAAGGACATAAATAAGCAATAAATGACATGAGAAAATTATAGGGACTTGATTTGTTAATTAATTAATAGTTTTAATTAGTTAAATGAAATTTAGAAGTTCTGGAATGTTCTGGAGGATAAGATAAAATATTAAGCAGTCAGATAATTATCATTTATATGGATAATTATTAGTTGACTAGATAATTATCGTTTAGGGTTTTTATATCATTCCCTATAAATAAAGAGGCATATGGACGAATTTAGATGATGAGAAATCTCAAAACCCTAGAGAAAAATCGGTCCTAACTCTTCATTCCCGAAACCCTCAAAATCACGATGCCACGTCATGGTGGCTTCTTTGCCATGACATAGTACCTGCTGTTCTAACGGATTCAGATTTTTGGAGCTTCGTTCATGGTTTTTTGTTGCTGATCTGAGTGTCTTGGGTGTGACTACAAAAGATGAGTTCTACGTTGGACTCTTAGCTCTCATCAATCAATCAAGGATATACAGGGGTTTCTACAAACCCTAAAAGGTATGTTATCTTGCATATTAAAGTTGCATTGGATAGGTTGTTCATAGATCCAAGTTTTGGGACTATTGAGGATTAAAATTGTTGCTTCCGCTGTCCCTCTAATGTTGTTTAATGATCCTCAAAACCCATCAGAAACTGTGACGCTCAGTTTCCCGCAGATTTAACAAAAACTGAATCTTCAAGTAGGACCAAGTGAAGTGTCAAAAGTACCACTAAATCTAAGAGTAGATCTAATGTCAAAACTAGTCAAAAAAGTAGTCAACAGTATGATACTGTTGATCTAAGAAACTCGTAGTGATGTTTGTACGAAATTAGAATATTCTACAAATTGTTGTTTGGCCTGATACATATTTGTAGCTGGATTGATAGTCCGAAATTACTGAGTTCGAAATATTGTTCAGAATGTAGTCCGATATTAATGATTTAGAAATGAAGTCTGAATTGATATTTATAAAGCGACCACAATATTGGGTCGGATCGTATACTCATTACCGTTTACGCAATATGGGTCCGAAATGACCCATTTCGGACATTGTGGTCGTGGTTATTCTTTTAAAATAACATTATAAAGTTGTTAGATTACTCAGTTTTTGTGCCGAAATTTAAGAAAAGTTGATAACTTCCGGTAAAATAAACTCATGAATAGAGTTAATTTAAAAATAATAAACTTATCTTAATTTATTTATGTATTTTGTTATTTTTTTTCTATTAAATATTTTCATTCTTTAAAACTCTTTTGAGGAATGATGTTATGTTTTATCAAACTCTACCTCAGCCAATTCCTTACCATCAACCAAACCGTTCTCAATAGGAAAGACATTCAGCTTGCAGGTATCCAACAAGACATATTTTTTTGCTTTGCCGAGAAAAAAAGATAATGTACATCTTCCATATCATATTTTGAAATTGTAAGTAATCAACAAATCTTATTTTTGTAATTTTTCTGCACAAATATTATATATTAAAAAAATATATTCACCAAAACCACGTTTTATTATGTCTCAATTTTATATGAGTAGTGGAACAATTAAGAATAAAATGTAAAAGTATATTTAATTTTTCTTTTTTAATATATATTAGCAAAATGAGTAATTTTTTTTAATAAAAACATAAATTACCATCAATTTTGAACAAATAGATCTAAATTGTTTTATTTTTTCTAACAAAAAATAATATTTTTGTTTGTAAAAACAATTTAAAAAACTGTTTTTTAGTATTCGAAAATTATTTTTAGTCTCAAAAACACAATTTTTAAAATTGTTTTTTAATTCAAAAAAACAACTTTTGAAATGTTTTTGTCTAAAAAAATAGTTCGACAATCTATATATTTCAAAATTTACAGTTTTTGAAAAATTAATTGTCATTTGTAATTTTTGTTAATCCTATCATTATTGAAGAAAAAAATTTCAAAACACTTAAGAAACAAAAATAGATACTATAATCAACAAATGAAGAAAAATAACTTGTTATTTCTTGAAATTACAAGTTTTATTATCTTCTAACATCATAAAAAACGAAAACCAAAAAGGAAAACATATTAAAATCAATAAATAAAACAAAATTTTTGTACAAAATTCTACTAGAAACTCAACAAAACAAACTCAAAATCTTTTAAGTAAAAGCAAAACTCCATTTTTGCTTTTCAAACATCACCCAAAACCCCCTTTAAAACATCCAATCCCTCCGCCGATATGCTCCTCCGCCGGTGTATTTTCGGTACCTCAATCTTAGGCGGTGGATCACCGGAGAAACAAACCACCACCACCGTCAGATTATCACAACTATTCCTCTTCGAAGCCTCCTTCACCAATTCTCTCGAACACTTCTCCGGATCGTTATGTAACATAAGCTCCTTCCGTACAATCGTCACAGCGTATTGACTACTCATCACGTCCCATAAACCATCGCATCCGATTATCAAAAACTCATCTTCTTCAGACAACGTAACTTCCTCGAGCTCCGGCTCGGCGCTTAATGGTCCGTCGGAGCCTTTTGGGCCCTTCATATGCCAGTCGCCTAGGGCACGCGCAACCGAAAGCTGACCGTTGAGATACCCGTCGTAAATCACGCCTCCGAGTTTCTCGATTCGCTGTTTCTCCGATGAGCAGCTCGGTTTGTGGTCTGTTGAAAGCTCGATTGCTCTTCCTCGCTTCCCTAATACTGCTCTTGAATCTCCGGCGTTTGCAATTAACATGTTTCTGTCAATAAACAGGTAATCATAAGCTATCAATTATCTTCAATCATCATTATTACAAAAAAAATTCAGATTTGACAAGAGGTTCTTACCTTCCCAATATGAGGGCAGTTAAAGCAGTAGTTCCAGAGGAATTATCAAGAGATCGAGTATCGGCTAACGCATGATCGACTTTAGAAAAAGCATTTTTTACTGCTTTTTTCACTGCTTTTGGGAAGTTGGAATCCTCTAGAATGAACTCAAGAATGTTTCGTTTAGTAAATGATGCAGCATCAACTCCACCATGTCCATCAAACACCTGAAAAATTATTTAATTCCATACATCATTTCGAGGATTAATCAATAATGCGCTAAATGAAAAACAAATAGCAATGTACTTTCCTTTATTTGTTTATTATAGCATTTTACTTTCAATTATTTTATTATTAGTACATAGTACTTAAAAACTCTTCACAATTAAAGCATTGTACTTTCATTTTTTTTCTTATTAATCGTACTTCAAAAAAATATACCTGTTTACAACATTGTACTTTTAGTAGAGAAACTTGCTTTCTATTTTGTGGACATTGTTGTAATTTGGTAGAATTTTAAATTTTTAAGGTACAATGTTGTTGTAATACAATAATATAATAATCAAATAAATGGAAGTACAATGCTATTTCCTGCATTTAGCCAAATAAATGATTGTAAATCAAATTTTGTTACCCCATAAAAAGCTCCATGCAAAGCATAATCCGGTTGTGCATCTAAATGTTCTCGAAGATTATCTACACAAACATATTCGTCTTCCATATATGGCTTTGGACCCATCTCCGAACAACTTCCCGAGCGAAAAATTGGTGAATATTGAGATCTCTCGTTTTGAGGTGACTTGTTACCTTCATTTGTTGATTTCTATTACGAGAGCATAAACAAATTATTAGGTGTTTGGAAAAGGGTTATTCTTCCAGCAACGTTCATGTGGCCTACACTAGGTTAAGAACATCATGTGAAGTGTTGATAACAAGTGGCCCATAGGTTGTCGGCATAAGGAGTGCCACAAGGATCTTAATCCATATTTAAATTAAACCCTTGTTCGGGGTAGAAACAGTAAACGTCAGCCTAAGGCACCCCCACCAAAATAGAGAATGTAATTTTACTAGAGCTGTAAACGAACTGAATATTTAGCAAACTGTTCGGTGAGAAGTTCGTTTATTTAATAAACGAACATACATGAGAGGAAGTTTGTTAATTTAATAAATGAACGAACATACACAATATTTTTTTTGCTTGTTTAACTTAGTTAAATGAACAAACACGAACAATGACTTAGTTTGTTTATTTATGTCTAAGAACATTTGTTAATGTTCATTAGTTTAGCACGTTTATGTTCGATTATATATACATCGGTGAGAATGAAAGTGGAGCTTTTAAAAGTGGTTTAAGTTTTAATTGGTAAAAATATCAAAATGACATTGCAAAATACAATCAACATATGAGAAGTGTTGATGATCAAGTTTTATGGTTTTCTATTTGGATGTTTATTTTCATTTATGTTCGTTTGCAACCCTCTTAATTATGATTTCCGTAGCTGATCAATGTTGAACCTAAGACCTCAATTATGGATTCTCATATGTGTTGCTAATGCAAAAAAACATGAAGCATGAGGATGTTAGAATGTGGATTGTCAAACTATGAGAAATTAAATATCCTCCTACTTTTTTCTCCAACCAATCCTTCTACCATTTTTATATGAACATAAGTGTAATAAAAATAATTATTTTTATTAAATATAACAAGTGTCACAATCTTAGTGCGGGAAGACAGTAGGAAGAAAAAGTAGGAGAATATTTTATTTCTCTCAAACAATTTATCCCAACATGAAGAATCACAATGAAAACTAAATAATTAGTTCAAGTTAGAGATAGTTAAGTAATTTTATATTTATTTCAGTAGTCAGTTTCTCTAAACATGACTAGATTGACCATAACAGTGAGAAAATCAAAATCATAATCGGATCAAATGGCTAAAGATTTGATATTTTTTTCATAAAAAAGAAATGTAGGTCACTTTGCTAGAGACAAATTACATAACAAATTAGATATTAAACCCCCCAAAACAACAACTTATGAACTAATCTTTCAACATACTACTCTCATAAGCCACTTAAAGTAAAAATGTAACATTGATTTTCTATATATAACTTGAACAACAAAGAAAGATCATGGAAAAATGGATCAAATGACAAAAGATGTTGATATCACTAGTAAAAGTTTTGTGATGAACAAATTAAATTACTTACCGAATCAGAGGTGCCAGCCAACATCGCTTGGCTGATACAATGTCGCATAGGCTGATAATTTCTTGGAGGCTTAGCAGCTTTTGATTGGTTGATGTTATCAGAATCCTCAGCCTCATCATCGTCATCTTCCATAGAATTCACAGGCACACATTCCTTCGAGTATCCATTCTCCAATGATGTACATTGAGGCAACACATCAGTCCCAGGACCCATTTTCACCGTTCTCTCAGTCAATCCATCAAACACTTGGTATGCAAACTAAATAAATAGAAAGAAAAACTCAATCCGGACAGTTCATTAACAGCCCATTTTGTAATTGTTGTTGTTATTACAGCATATAAACAGCTGTATAGCAGTTAATCCTCGATCCATAAGCAACCAACAGTAGCGCAATAATCCATTATTTTAAACAACACGAAGCTGTAGCCTTCCATTTCTTGAAATTTGTGAAGAAACGATCAGGCCCACATGCGAGAGAACTAGTTGATGATATCTGAATCTTGATTCATTCTATGTAAAGCAAGAATCCCAACAAAACATATGGTTTGAATTGAGCAACACGAAAAAAGGGAAGAGGAAAAATGAAAAATTGAAGAAGAAAGTGATAAAGAAGATGGAGAGAAGAGAATCAATTACGGAAAGCAAAGTAGTAGGAGAGGGAGGGCCATTGAAGTTGGGAAGCAATTTTCCGTTAAAATGGAGGCTGAGGTTTGTAGGCGAAGGGCGAAAGAGGAGAGTGATGACACGTGTTTCTTCACGTGGTATATCAGTTGACCTCGCAAACAAAAAGCTTTTTAGTAAACGGCAAAACATTAAAATATGCTAAACTCACACTTTACTTTTTGCTTAATAAATCAGCATTAATTTCGTAAATTAGATCTGTAATTTTTTTTTTTTTTGGATAAAACTTAAAAACTATAATATGGAAAAGCTCTAGTCTTTTAAAAGTATTGTTACGGAAATTAAGTCTCAAAACTTCAAGTTAAACAATAATAGTGCTCGAGCTTGTCATAAACTTTTGTTGAGCCAGAGCTTCAAACAAGTTTTCAAGCTTTGACAAACGAGTCGAGCTTGAATCGAGCTTAGACTTGTTTTAAAGATTGTTGTTCAAACGAGCCGAATCGGAGCTTGTAAAATTATTAACGAACCAAGCTTTAATTTTATGCTTATGGCTCGTAATGAGCTGAGCTTGAATTTGGTTAGGTTCGGGATCGGTTCAACCCGTTTACACCCCTTTGGAAAACGAATGTCAAAGATGAGAATCACTCCCCAAAAGTGTTCGGAAACAGTCCACTCAACCCATTCTAAGTGATATGTATATATAACATGCTTAATTTTTCAAATCAAGTTGATATCACTCAAATGAAATACTCTTTCAGCATAAGTTTCATGAATGCAACAAGTTACATATAATAGCCGCATATTTAATATATGAGAATAAATAAGACATTTATCAAAGAGTTGTGACAGGTACATATACTCACAATATATACTCACCTTAGCTTGGTAGTAGCTATTCAGTGCCACAGTAGTAGCTATTCGGTGCCAATACTAGAAATGTTTGATTGTACAAAGTCAACCTATATAAATAGTTTATACTTATCACTTAAGTGTTATATTGAGTTCTTAATAACTCGATAATGATAAACCAATTTTATATCCTAAATAAACTAGTTAAGTCATTTGAAGAACCATGAAATTGGTGTGAGGTTAAGAGGACCAGCCAAACCAAAGTTACAACATTTTCGTGGTTTCAAGGCAAAAGAGGACACGTGTCTTGTCATTTTGTTCTTGGGAAACACATGGGACGTGTAGTGTGCATACCTGTCTAATTCGACACATGGGACACATAGTGAAAGCATTTGACTCATCTTGGGTGACTTTTTGGTTCTTAATTCTAATTAATTTTCACTAATTACATGTTTAATGAGAACTGTGACTTCAACTAAAGAAATATGTTATGAGCTTCTTTAGCTATTTCAATAACTAAGAAAAGTCTATGTAATCTCAAACTTTTTCGATTACTATAGCAAATTAGAGATTTATGACAAATATTGCACCTTGGATTCTAATGATATATTTACCAAATGTTCAAGTGAAAAAACCTTAAGTAAACCATTATTCTCTCATTGATTTTACATCAAATTCTTGATTTTTTTTAATTATGTTCTTTAAATCCAAGTTTAACTCTAGTTTTCTTTAAAAATATCAAAATACTAAAACCCCAATTTTACTTTTATTATCATTTTATAAGTATTTTACAAAGAGATTTACATTGATTAGCAAATTGAACCAATTTTGGTGGATTTGAATCCTTTACCACTATACACAGTTTTAGTGTACAAGCTTTAGGGTTATTTATTTTTTTTGCATCGACAACCATCATGATGACTAAAAATAAGTGATGACTCAAA